TTAAGGAGAATCAAAGAATAAACTGTTGCAAAACAGGGTCATCTGACACAGGGTTATATACACAGGTATTCCATTATATATTCTGTATTTATGGAGTGTTAAAAATGTGGACAGGAAAAATATTATGATATTTTCATATACCAATACTTGGAAAGTAAATAAAAAAACGAACAAAAATCTGTAGGATTGGAGGGCCAAAATGTATTCTTACCAAATTTGTTAGAGTTAGAAATCTAATTACGAACATATCTTCTTCGTTTAAGCAATATAAAAAGGCATAAACATATTATTTTCAAACACCAGCTCTAAGGATCATCTGGAATTCGTGTCCTCTTCAGGGGTAATAATTTCAAGTCCTCAGCCAGCTTGGTTCCTTTCTATTCCATTCCGTTCGGTTTCTGTGGGTGTTTTCTATTGCGTTTTGCGAACAAATTCAATTGCAGCACGTGTCGTTTGGTCATGTACACAAAGATATGTGAGTGCTTGTCTATATATGTATGGATATATATATATATATTTATCGAATATGCACATAGAGAGAAAAAGTTATTTTATTTAACATTGAATACGTAAATATATTTTTGAATTTTCTTCAAGGGAACGTTTATGATGATGACCTGGTATATGTTACTAGTTTTCCAGTCTGAAATTCTGTATCTAGATATTGATTATATCTACCTGTATTTCTCTCTGTGTAAGAGTAAGCCTTTCGAGTGTGTGGGTATGTTAAAAGCAACTGACGCCAGCAGTTTTGGGCACTGGACAGCCCCGCCCACTTTATCGAGTTTATATTTGTGCGAGGAAGAAATGTCGCTGGAGTGCAAAAAATGCAAGGCACAACAAACTTGTTTGTCAACCTTCCAGTAGTGGGTGGCAATGGGGGGAGGAGGGTGTTGTTTAAGGGCGGTCTGAAGTGTTGGCAGAGACCCTCACGTAGTTGTCTGTGGCCACGAAAAAGTTGCATAAAGTCAACAACTTTCAGTGGTTTAGTGATGTGAAAGTTGCTAAGCTCGAAATGTGGCTCTTGTCTTCACTTCCCCCTCCCCATCCCTCACCCGCTTAGCCATAGCAAGAAGGTCAATTACTCGAGGAACTTGAGTTAAAAGGCGTGAGAATACACAAACTGGACAAGGGAGAAATGGACATATAACTTTGGCCAACAAACTTGCTAAGATTTTCCCCATGAAAAGATGGCAACATTTTCGGTGTATTATTAAATTTAGCTTTTTCAACTGTCAAAAAATGTTGGCCATATCATATTAAATTTTCTCTTTTTGCCAAACTGGCTCTCTCAACTATAAAACTGACAATTTAATTGTACTTCCATGGGATCTAAGCCAATGTGATGGGTCGGCCAACCGAAGCTGTCTGGCCAATATCAATCAAAAGTTGGCTGCGCCAAAATGCCATAAAACTCAGCAGCTTATCAACGGCAAAAATGGTAAATGGTAGAATGGTAAAGTGGAATAGAAAAACTATACAATCAGCAAAATTAGCGCAATTTGCGCCACAATTGCAATGGCGAAGGGCTGCAATTTATTTAAATACAACGCCATGTGCCAGTGCAGCCGTCGGCAGTCCCTCGTCAAAGTTAACCATGTTGGCCATGGCAACCGTCGAATACATACACGAGAAAAACTCTGGAAAATACACCCACAAACAATTCGATGGGCTGCGCGGTTTTGAGTGAAATAAAATTTAATGCCATCAACAGGCGTTGGAAAGGAGTGGAGTGGAGTACAGGGGATTGGTAGAAATGTTTGCGGCGCATAAACAAGAATTGTTGCCACAGAGCGCCGGGTAACACGCTAAACCATTAACTAAACAGCTGAAAATAAAACAAAAGCAGCCATAAGAGTGCAATCGAGTGAAAAGTCGCAGGGTGGATGCCCTTTGGCATAAGCCAATGTTGGTTATCTTTTTTACAGGTGATGAATATGTTTATCATAAACCTTTAAGCGGTTATTGAAATTATCTTTAAATTATCAACATTTATTATAACAATATGAATAAACTTTTTATAAACTTAAGTAGTACATTAACTTTAGAATTTGCTTTTGAAAAATAACATTTTAAATGTTAAATTTTATTTCAAATCTTAATAGCAATGCAGTTTAAGCTACGTTTTAGTAAGCTAATAAGCAATAAATTAAATAAAGAAATTAAAGTTATAAATTATTTTCATGGAAATAAATTAGAAAGCTTCACCAGCAGACCGCTGCCTAATTTAGTTGTTGCCCAGGGCTATCCAGCTAAGCCCCCAACCAAACACAATTAAAACGGGAAAGCTCTGCCCACGTAACATAATATTGGACTGAAATTTTCCAGAGTGGTATAAAGAGAGAGAGAGATATGGGGTGAAAGGATGCACTCACACACACATGCAGGAGCAATAAAAATGGCTGTAACCGAAAAATAGCGGCACTTAATAAAATAAGCGTGTGGCAGGCCCACACAAACACATCTGTATGCGCGGCAGTATGGTTGCATGGTTTCAACCCACATGCTGTCAATGCATAAAACAATTTTCCACGGAAATTGCAGTAATTAACTTTAGTACCTGCTTGAGTGACATTGTGAAATTGTATATGTGTATGTGTGTGTGTGTGTGTGTTTGAGTGTGCGGATGGTGTAGGCCAGAAACAGGATGCTCGTCGATGTGTGTTTGCATGTCTCCCGGCCTATCTATGTTTCCTGTGCACAAGGAAAAAATGTATGGTCTTAATAATCAAATAAATTGAATTAAACTTAAAACTTAAAAAATCATTACCTTTTAATGATTAATTGATTGATTTTACAATTTTGTGTTATTATTAATGAAGATTTTTGTAATAAAACAAAAGGTTTTTGAATATTTTTTATTTTGATATTTAACTGAAATTTGATGAGCAGTAAGCTTAAATATAAGCAATAAATATTTATGTATTTTCTTAAATTTTACAAAAAGTATTTTTTTTTAGTGCACCTATCTCTCTTCTCTATGTTTTTCTAATTCAATTAAAATTGGCAGCTACAGCAGCCAAACACGGGCAGCAACAACAAGCATCTAGTCAGTTGCAATGGCGACTCATTAGAAGGTCTGCATATGCAATCGAACATGCAACACACACACACACACACACACTAACATAATAGGTCCCAAAACCCACCATCCGCCCGCTCTCCCCCTCCCCCATGTAAGCATATGTTTACGCTTGTATTGGTGTTAATGTTAACTGTCACTACATTTGCCTGCAGCATTTTTGGCTTTCCAAAACCCAAGGCCACCCAGGGCCACCCCCTCGGTTTTTAAACTGGGCTGACTGCTCTTGTTGTTTGTTATGTAACTGTAAAAACATGTCAAACCAGCATGAGTGCATGCATGTATGTGTGTGTGTGTGTTCATGTGAGTGTCCTGTAGGTAGCGTTTTTGCCTGTACTGCCAGCATGAAAAAGCCGCACTGATCGCAGCACTTTATAAATAATTCAGCCAAAAAAATCCTGCACTTTTCAACAGCAAAATCTATCAATAAATTTGGTTAATCTGATTTCGATAAAAAATTAACAGTGAGTAGGTACATTTGAAGATAAATTGAAACTACTTTGATGTTAAATAACAACTTATATTTATAGATAAGTAAAAGTGTCTTTGAACAAAGCCTAAATCCTAAATCATTTTGTATAGAAACAGCTAAATGAGATCTTAATCAAAGCTATTTCGTTGTTTTATTAACTTGAAATGAAATCTTCAAGTATTAAAATGATTTACCTAAAGTCAAAACAAATATGTAACATAATCTAACAATAAGTTGAAACTTAATTGCCAACCTGAAAGCTAATCACATGGAAACCCAACCGAAGGCTTTCAACAAATATTAACTGATTCTCGCCTGCTATTTATGGCCTAAATTTCAGTCCAACTGAATGGCTGAGCAATTAAAGTCACACATATAATTTTCGAATTACGAGAATCCACAGAATAAATTATAAGCAGCAATTTATTCAAGCATACATAATAAGCCCACGCACACAAATTTTCTTTTGCTTGAGTTATTGTCAAAATTATCCCCAATGTCTCTCTGGCATAACTGTGTGTCGAGCCTTAGTTTTGGTTTTCGGCCTACTCCGCCCATCTATTATCCTGGTCTAAGCCTTAAAAGTTCATTTTAATCGCCCATTCAAGAAGTGTTTATAGTTTATACTGCCAGTGTGTGTGTGTGCACGTTTGATTAATGAAGATTAATAAGGAGGAAAATTGTTACCGATCTGTAAAAGGTTAGTTTGATTTCCTTTGAATATGATTTAGGCTTGACAGTTTATTCGCTTAAGTAGATTTTCACAAATTTCATAGCCGATGATATGATTTAATTAAGCGATTTGTACAAACTAGAACATCGAAACTAACTCAAACAATTATTTAACCCTTTATGAATGCCGCATAAATTTCGAATCACTTAAGATCTGAGTTTTCCTTGTAAATTTATGGGTTTTGTAATTTTTTTAAAAACGATTTCTCATTGCCTTAAATGGGGTTTCGTCACTCAACTCATACTGCGGGGCGGCGTATAATTGAAATATCGTGACTCGGCGTTGCGTTATTATATCATATATATAAAATGTTATTAAAACGCAGAAAACCAGAAGAGCGAGCACAATGTGAAAACTAGACGTTGCCGCCATTATAACATCGCTTAAAATTTATGACAGCACTTGCGGCATTTCGCGTTGAATTTTATTTATTTATTTCTCAGCCTCATTTCCCATTGTTCCATTTCCAAACTTTGCGTGCCGGCAATAAGATTAAATTGCCATTGTTGCCCTGGCAATGGTACAGCGTCGCTTTCTTAACAGATAAAAAATATTCTTATTCTATATTTGTAAATGGCTCTAAATTTTCCAATGGAAAGTGTAATTTAACTTAAAGTTTATGCCTAAATAAGCTACATGTTACGCTTATTAGATGTAAAATTATAGTTTAATCCCCTTATTTTTTTTTGTTTATTCTTGAGTTAGTTCTGCTACTGCCCCAACGGAATGAAGTTCTTTATCTGGTTTTCGCTTTTATTGGTTTGTCATGCTGTTAAAATTCCGCAGGATAACATAATACATGGTTGGTTCTTGAATTTCATACAAGAAATCAAAATTAATTTTTAACAAAACCTTTTAGAGTTGTGCTTCAAGCCGGATTCTGGGCCTGTTTGCCAGAAAATGAAAACATTTTATTGGGACCAGAAGAAGTTGAAATGCATACAAGTTCGATATTTAAGGAAGCCTTGTGGCTTCTTCCACAGTTTGAATACCTGCGAAACAATATGCTCGAAGGATTCATGGACTTTAGTCGGCTTAGAAAAACATGTTTCAACGTTGCCTTAAAATATAGAATAATATACTTTCTTTGGAACCTTGACTCATTCATTTATGATGGTTTTAGCTGTACTTTCAGTTTAGTTGGCAGTCAACATGAAGCCGTGGATTGTGTTGGTCGTGCTGGCTCTGTATAATTTGTCATTTGTTTCTACCGCCGTTCACAGTCCTATCTATAGAAGTAAGTTAAGTACAAAAGATTTTGGAATATTTAAAGATTTATATGATTTTATAAATTGGTTAAGCTCTGTGCAAGCGAACGGGAGGATCAATATATTGTTACCAGGGCAATACTTGGGGCTTCGATGAGAGGACTCGTAAATGTTATCGTGTACCTAAGGCTCGGGAGCCATGTGGCTTTTTCGATGGTAAAAAGGGTTGCAAGGACTTCTGTCTAAAGCCCAGCGGGTAAACTGATGGGTCTATATTCGAATAACACCATTAAATAATTGTGTTTGTATAAAGACCGATAGAAGGTATATTGTCACCCATTGTTAATCATATTAAATAGCCGTGAAATTACATTCTCTTTGGTTAACGAATCTATTTTTAAGACAGAATAATAATGTTTTGTTTTTAACTGAACTGATTCAGTTACGATGTGTATTTTCACTCAATTGTTTTTCTTTCTATTAATCTTCTATAGTACAGTTTTTAAGGATGTTAATTCTCTGAAAAATGGTAAGGAAAATGGTTTAACTTTTGATTACACCTGATCCTTAAATATTCTCCATTAAAAGCGCTTTGCCAGCGAGCAACACGTGGTGACGAGTGCTTGGAGGAAAATACTTGGGCATTCCAAGAGGAAACTGAAACTTGTGATCTTATGATTCCGGAAAAGGAACCTTGCGGCTTCTTCATAAGCAAAGAGGCTTGTAAGAAGCTCTGCTTCGAAAACTCAACTGATACCTCAGAAGAAAGCTCAGAAAAATATGTAAAAAAACGAAAATAAAATTTGTTGAAACAGCAGGAATAGCAAGTCTTTCTGGTTTTCCTTTCTGATATATAAACTTTTTGTTTTGTTTTATAAAATATTAATGTCTGGATTAATATATATTTTAATTAAACTTGAAAACAAAGCCATCTGAAGTTCTTTTGGTTTTCAAAGGCATATATAAATTACAGAACATTCGAATTGGACCGTAAATAAGAATTTCCGTCGGCAGGGGATTGCTTGTTTTTGCCTCGTTTGTTTGCTGGCCGTATGAAGTTCATCAGGCAGCTTCACTCGAGCATGTGTCCTTGGACGACCATTGTCCTTTTGGTTTGTTTGTTGTCTGGTTTGCAACTGCCGCTAATGAAACATACTTCTGGCACTTTATTTCATTTGCTCTCTCGCCTCGCCCTAACAATCTCAGCCCCTGCTAAGGACCCACATTCCCACAGCCCCCCTTAGCCCCTCGCAGCATTTAGCTCATTTTCGCCGGCTTGGCTCAAGTTTTTGTGTCCTTGGTTTTATTAGATTTTATTTGCTCAGTCTTTATTTGTCTTCTGCCGTCGTTTTCCGTCTTGCCAGCATTAAGTGTCCAATTTTAGTTCAGGGTTTTCCACTTCCACGGGGTACTTCATGAGTGATAACATTTCGCTACCCATCAGTTATGGACGGGGATGGTTTTAAAGTCCGAAATTTAAAGCTGGCTACAAAGTGTATATTGAAAAATATATTGTTAAGAAAGCTTTTTAATAATTTTATAAACAAATTTAAATTTAATACTGTTTCTCTTTGACTGATAAAGGAATTCTGTGATCTTCTAAAATAAGACTTGAAATTCCTTTCAAATCATTCCTTGTTATGTACGAATCGCTAACGTCAAATGAGAAAACTACAGGATATCTAAATATCAGATTCCCAACTAAAGTTACTCCTTTTTCTTTTGGTCGGTTTTCTTTTTGTTCTCGGCTTTTGCTTGCCACAGCAGAATCCATGTTGCTGCCGCTTCTCTACTATTTGCTTTGGCCTTTTGTTAGTTTGTTTTGTGCAGAAAACTTTGCTCAGCCAGCTGGCCACATATGTATGCCCCAGGATCCTCATTTGGCCTCTGCTCCTTTTTTACTAACATTTTCCTCCTTTTTTTTTTTTTTAGTAAATTCGTCAAGTTTGTAAACACAAATTATGACAATTAAGTTGACTGTTGACTTGTTTGAGCCCGTCGTCTGCAAACTTTGCTTGCAATTTAAAAAACTCACCAAATTGCATTAAATTCCTGCCGAAACCGTTGACAGAAAATTCAATTTACGCTGGGCAAGGCTCAAGGAAATAAAAATAAAAATGGGGGGAGGGGAGGAAAAAAGACGAACTCGTTTGACATTCCGGATCGAGCTTAATTTTCATTTTAATCTCCGTGCATTTGCAGTGCGCAAAGTTTGGGTCTGCCAATGGCACAGGTGCCGGAGCTCACGCAGAGTTCGTCCTCGGGGCATGGAGGTGTTAAAGGTGGCCTGCAGCCACAATTGTTCATTAGATTAGCAAGTTGGCAGCAAAAGTTTGCAGCCCGGCTCAAATGCCACTTTCACGGCTGCTGACACACTTGAGTTGGATTGCGTTTTCTGCCTTTGGCCCCACCATCATTCCATTTCCTTTTCTCTCTCTCTCTCTTTTTCTCGATTTTTTGTGTGTCATTGGAGAAAATTTTATGAATTTTCTTATCAATTCAAAAGGCGAGAAACGACAGAAATTTACGTGCTCAAAGTGGCAAGTTGTCACAACGACAAGCCAATCTATATATGTATGTATGTGTTAGCCAACTTTTGCCTCGTTTTCGCCCAGTTGCTGCACTACCACCACCACCACCACAAACGCTGTCTCAATTTGTCATTGAAGTTGCCGCTGTGCTGCCGATAAGAAAGTTTTCACTTGATATAAGCAAATGCGGCTATTGATGGTAAATGTTGGCAGTTAGTCTTCTCCTTCGAGTCTTGCTCTTGTTTTCAAGATTTAAATTGAATTTCCAAGATTTTTTAAAGACCAACACCCAGAGTCTTGTGGTCTTTAACGCACTGGAATCACAGATGATTCCAGCTTGAAAAATGAAAGCGCTTTGTCAGCATTTACTCAAAGTACTCTGCCAATTAAACTTATCTGTAATTGGCTTAAAGTTTAAATTGAGTTTTACAGAGTTTGAAGAATTTGAATGACTGAAACCAAGGGGGATTAATTTGTCTTAAATTCCATTTAATAAATACAATTAAAATAACACAAAATCTAACATTATTTCCAAAAAATTAAGTTAACATTCAAATGTTACAAAAGACAAATGAAAAAGGTTTGTCACCATTTAGGCCAGTACTTTCCGCCAATTAAACTTATCAGCAGTTACGCTTTATCTGAATTAAGTCCACACGTGGAGGCGCCACACGCAACTGGCCAGCGGAAGTGTGGAAAATTCAGGTTGTTGGGAGGAAAATGGAAAATGTTTGCCACCAAAAGGAGCCGCCGTAGACACCGAAGTGCGTAAGGCAACACTCCTGTGGCGGCGCGTGTTACATAATTAAAAGGCTGCCTCGAGGTGGCAACAGCGTGAAAAGTAAGGCGAGAGACAAACTATAAAATAAACCAACAGCGGGCAAATGCGAGGGGCCAAATATCACAGGGAGTAAACGGTACACTCGAGCGCATAAAAGAGTTTTTATTACGAAGAATACCGGAAGGGAGGTCTGGGAAATCCTAGTCCTGCGTGGCCCTAACCTAAATAATAGCCAGTGCGGCTCATTGTCCTTTTCCGGTAATAATTTCGCATTTACCCCCAGCACGATGTGGCAACCTAACACGTTTGTTCTGCTGGCTGCCCCGGCTAAATTAGCTGTGACAGCCGCGTGGCAAAGGCAATCCTGGCCATCCATGTCCTTCGTTTCTGGCTGCGCGCGGAGGACTCTTTGGCGGCTTGAGACATACCTGAGGCGACTCAGGGCGACCACGTTATCATTTATAATGAGTTAATTACATTTAATACGCATGTACAATGGCCTGTTGAACATGGCGCACAATTAAATGTGACCCTGGCCAAAGGAACTTCAATGGCAATAGCAACAAAGGATAACGTGGCCATATCTCTAGGTGTCTGTGTGTATATGTGTGTGTGTGAGTGCTGGAGCTCAACGCTTTAAGCCGTCATTGCGTTTAATGGCTGCTTTGAGGTTTATTAGCTGCTGATTGTAAGCGTAATTACATCTGCCTAATCTGCTCGAATAGTTCGCACTTATAGAATGAAATGGGTAACAAGGGAGCTTCATTATAGACCACCATTAAGTGACTAAATAATTTACCAATAAACATTTTATACAGTCTGGAAACCGAAAATATAAAATTTATTCTTTTCTTTCCTAGTCCAAATTTTAATTTGTCAATAGTTAATTGAAATGCAGGCAGGCAGTTAATAATTAACTATTTCATTTATTCGGAAAAATTTAATTTATTATTTGCATATTTTTCTAGCTAAATTAATTAGTAAGGAGATTAGGGAAGTCCTAGTTGCTTGTCCTGCCGGAAAATGTATTAAAAATTCAAATATCTAAAATGTTTCTAATTTACCTATTTATAAATCAATTAATAGTGCGTAGGCTATGTGTTTTTAACCTTCTAATTAACAAATTATAAAAATAATTCTAAATTATTTAAGTTTTTAAATCCTAAAAATGAAATTACAAAATTTGAAACAGGAAATGGCATCAAAATTGTGCAAAAGAATGCCTGGCATTCGTCATAATTTGTTTGGTAAACTTGAAAAAATTTGCCGGTAACTAAAACAATATGCCATTTATCAATAGCCCATTTTTCATATCGGCAGACCGATGGAGGGGGCGAACTGAAAACATTTATCAACATCCAATCCCGCCGCCGAGCAACTACTCCCCATTGTGTTGCATACTTTTCGGGAGCTGCCATCGGCCATATTACGTATACGTGACAGCGACTGGAAATGGAAAATCCATTCCCAACGACTCTTGGCGACAAATTCTTTGCAGACATCTAAGCATTTAACAATTTGCGACCACACCCACTCGGACTCCCATTTTTGGCTGCCGGCCATTGCATTTCTCAGAAAACTACACAAAAAAAAAGAAGAGAAACCAAAAAATTATTTTAAACCACAATTTTGTGGTTCGTTTTTCTTCTGCCGTCTTTTTCCCCTTACCTTTTTTTTTGCCTTTTTAGCAAATAAAAATTTTGCTTTGTGCCTCCTGTTGTGCCTCGTGTCCATGCTCATGCTACTGACAGCTGCAAAATTTGTGCGCTCTTGTTCATTTGTTTGACTGCCCATTGTTGCTGTCCATGTGTGTGTGTGTGTGCGGGTGTATGTGCAGTTGTGTGTGTCTGTGTTGAATGAGTGTTTGGGTGTGTGCGCTTGTTTGTTGTTATGCCCAAAAATTGAACACACAAAGCAATTGCTATGCAACATTTGTGCAGACATGGCCCGAGAGTCACAAAAAAAAATCACAAAAATACAAAAAAAAAAAAATACAAATAAAATTGCTGTACAATTGAACGAGTACAAAGGCTTTCCTTGTGTGTGTATGTGTGTGTGTATGAGCTAGAACGTTTAATAGTTTTATTGCTAGCCACAAGCGTTCTTGATACTCAGTAATCAAGGACTTTCATAGAATGATCGGTGGTGGATGATAAAAAACATTTTGTATTTAATTCTAAAAAATATTAAATTAGGCATTGTATTTCCTTTTCCTTTTTTTAATTTAAAATACATAACAGACATATTCAAAAATAGAATCTCTTATTGTTATGTATCCTAGAATGGGGTATTTATCTAACGACCCTTTAAATCTCCTTTGCAAAATTTTGATGGAAACATTCTTGGCCAGCACATTCGTTAGTTGTCATGTCATGTGGTCAATTGTTTATTGTTAACATGGTCAATTCAACGCCACCCATCACCCATCCACCAGCCCTGTGGCACTCGCACATATATATATATATATATATCTGAAAATATCAAATTACTTGGCTTTCTTTTGATACGTCTCAAGAATGTATATCTTGAGCAATTTGTGGTTTTGGCCTGACTGTCAGCACAGTTCGCATTCAGAGACGACGAATTAATCCATTTTCAGCTGCCTGTCAGAGCTCAGTTGAAAGACGAAGATGGAACCTCTCGCCCCAAAGGAACGCAATTTAACACTTTAATACCAACGGAATGCAGCTGCCCGGTATTGCAGTTCTGGCTAATTAGGAATTATATTTCGTTAAGGTTTCGGATGAATGTGCGTCAAGTGCTAAAATGGCTAATGCACTTTACTGTTCCCACTGACAGCCAAAGAGGAAGCTGACTGGCTGGACGGCTGGTTGGGTATATTTTATGGTCTGACAAAAGACAGGCCACCCACCGCACAGAGATGACCGACTTCATCGTCAACAAAGCTGGCGCCTTGGGCGCAAATTTCAATGCGTTTCAAGCATAAAATAAATGTCCACTAAAAATGTCCCTGGCATTGTTGTTGCTGCCCTTGGGGGCGTGGCAGCAATGGGCGTTCAGAATGAGGACGCACAAAAAGATGACCGAGAGGCGTTTTGTACACCTAAAACATAACCAAGGCTGTTTTTTATGTTTACTTATTTTTATTTAATTTATTAATATTTTTAAGTTAAAGAGAGTGCAGAGATGTAAATAGTCTGCATATCATTTTGGTTTGATTTCTAATTTATGCACATTTTTAGCATTTAACAACCTTATTTTTCTGAGTGCCTTTGCCCAGTTCTCGTGTATGTCTCAAGGACATGTTCATGGCTGACTGCCTCGGAGTTCTCGCTGAGCTGAACTGAACTGGACTGGACCGAGCTGGCCCAAATCGCTGCAAGTGCTTTTAAGTCGTTGTCAAATGCAAAGAGCACAATAATTCAAATTTATGACGCGCAATTGTGCTCACACACTTATCCTCCTGTGCCTCTGCCTCTGCCTCCACCTCCGCCACGCCCCGCGGCTCCTTGAATTCGTCCTTTTCGCAGGCATAAATAAAGGAAAACTTGGAACGTGCGTCCAGCTGAGTGGGCGTTGGCTCGTCATGGAGTATGTAAATTTAGTGGCCTCACAGGAGGATGAGAAAAGAAGCGTAAAAATTTTATAATTTGTGGCTCTCTCACTGAACAATTATTTTATTCCTTTGTCGTCCGATTCAGTTCACTTTGGTTGGAAATTTGGCTATCTGGGTAAATGGGTATAGGTGAGGTCGCAAGAAAGTGAAGCTGTTGGAAAATTATCTGCTTTTGATTTACGGACTTTGTTGGACAGTGTCGTAAAATCTCGCAAAGCCTAACGCTGGATAATTTCGGATTCGGTGATTTGGCCCTGGCTTTTCTGCCAAAGTGATAATAAAATTGGGACACCAAGAAGTCGATCTAGATCTGAGCTCATACTTTGATTTTCAATGGTAATAAAAACATCAGTACTTTAAGGTTATATAAATCGTTAATGAAAACAGAGAACTGGCTGAGTTATTGACCGAAAAATTTCATTAAATTTATATCAAAGCAAGTTGCATATTTTTTTAATTGCTTCAAATAAATCCCAAAATAAAAGCAATGCCATTTAGCCAAAACAAGATAGGGGTCAGCATGATGAACAATAAAAATATCATTTTGTTTTGCTATTCAATTAGGCGGCCAAAGGCTGCATATGCCAAAAAAGGAAAAGGGAAATAAAACATAGAAAATTATAAAGAAACTATGCAGAGATGGGCAATTAAAAAGCAATATCTATGGATACATTTATAAGGCTAGGCACAGGCTATTATTTCGATTGCAAATGTGTTTGCGGATTTATAAACAAATCCCTATGCAAATCGACGACACAAATGCAGTTTGATTTATATTTATGCCCCTGCAGCAGGCGTAAAAAATCAAACGACAACTGCCAAAAAACAAAAAATAAAATCTAGTAATGCCAAAAGAAACTTTTGTGAAACAAAATCCAAATAATTGCGTTGGGCAAATAAATTAAAACAAATGCACACACGGCCAAATGCCGCAGTTGTTCGGCATACAAAATAAAAAAAAAAAATTGAGGCCACCCAGAAAGCGGCACAAACATTGATTAATACGAGGCCAAATACATTAGGCCATCTCACATAATTTATGACCGCCTGCCATACAGTCCGACTGTCTATGGATGCACAAACATTTATTTGTTTAATGTATTTTGCAGCCATATTTATATGCCGATCGCCTGGAATTCAGCCACTGCCGCCGTTGTTCTTGTTTTCTAGCATTTATTTCCGATGCTGATGTCGATGGCGATACGCGGCGTATACGTAATGCGAATGCACAGAGAGTGCAGAGCGGTAGCAGCACGAAACTTGACCAGTATGTCAGCTGCACAAACAAGACTAAACCATTGGCTGCCTCCAAGCCAAAACTCCCGTCCTGCCCCTGGGTGGCAGATAGTTGATAGCTTTTTTTGTTATGGTGTCAAACTCTATCGCGTTTGTCCTAGGAATCGCCAGATATTTTCGGTTTACTGGCTTGAAAAATCAGTCAGTGTCACAGAAATTCCATTCACCATTTTAGATTTATTATTTATTATTTATTTATTATTATTTAAAAAGTATGTAAATCTGGTAAAGAATTAAAATTGAAAATTCAATAACAATTTTTAAACTTTTATTCTATCCAAAATCAGGTTAGAGATATAAAAGTTACCTTTAAATTAAAAATAGAAAACTGAATGGAATAATTTGAAGAATATTTTTAAAATAATTAATATTATTTAATTAACAAAAATCTTAGTTATTTTATAGACTTTCTTAGGGTATTTCATAGTCCAAACTCAACAGAACATATAGGAATTTCTTGTTCTTTTAGCCGCCTTTGTTGTTTGGTTGTTTGGAAAATAGCATTTGACATGCGGGTTCAAAGCGTTTGGCAGCCTGTTTGAATTCCTATTTGCATTGCGTGTGTTTTGCCAGGATCACCTGTCCTCCCGCGATGCACCTGACCAATGTCCGGTTGTCAACACCCTGCTCCGTTCGCGAAAAAAAACAGATATATATATATTAGGTAGGAGAGAAATGGCGATGACAACGACAACGAAATCGAATCCCCCAAAAGGTACATACAAGAATACACGTTCAATTTTGGCAGCAATAGGAAATAAACATCAAAATGCAGCGAATTGAGTTCGATTGCAAATATTTGTAAACGCGCAGAGGGCAGCTGGGCAGCAACAACATCAACCACCAGTAACCCCTCGCATAAACCCGAAGGATAACGCTAAAAATTGAAAGGAATTTCGCGCCATTTAAAAGTTTTACAGAAAGCAAGTCTCATAAAAGTTCAAAAGTTGTTTGGTTTTTTATTTTGTATTGATTTGGAGTTTTTGTGGTGGTTGTATATTGTTTAGTTCAGTTAAGATTTGTAAGCTGATTTATGATTTAAATAAGAAAGCTAAGACTATGATAAGTGATTATGCTTTCAAAATTAAAGTTTTGTTTATGATAACTACAATTAGTTCGTATAACTTCTTATTTTTCTTAAATTTACTAGTTATCTGCATTTGACAGAAACACATATAATCCAATACTTGTCTTTGGTTGATGCCACTTGTCATACTATTATTATTTAAATTGCCCAGTGCGCAATTTCACAACTCAATGCCCAATGGACAGTTGAACTGACAACATAATTTCAGCATATGACAACTTTTCTAATGAGAAAAAATCTCGCACAAACATAGCAGAGCACGAAACTAGTTCGTTTTAGGATATCAAGCAATTTGCTTTGAGATTGTTACCAATATGGTGCAGTCAGTTCATGTGGGAATGTACGAGACGAGAGATGTACATATGTGTTCCAGGGGTTGTCTGCACTTGTCACTTGGTTGACCAAGGCAAAACTGTCAAAAAGCATACGTATATGCCAAACATTTGTCGTCGCCTGACAAAACCAGAAGTGAGCCAGGAAAAGGAGAAACACTAGTATTCTGTATGCATATCGAACGAAATTTATTTTTCCGTAAAAAAAAATAACGAAAGAAGAACGAAAATAAACGGAAAATGGTTTAAGGAAGTGCGTCCTGCGCTGTATCTTTCTCCTTTGACCAGTGCCAAGTCTTCTCTAGTCATCCTCACTGACATCCAGGATGGTCTTAAAGGCAAAAGGCTCAAAGGCGTAACCAGCGCCCTCATAGAACTTGCTCATGAACTCCACCCTGGCAAAAACAGAAAAAGTTAGGCTTACTCTGAAAAATTGCTCTCATTAAGCCAAAAACTCACCAATGCAAACGCAGTGTGTGCAGGAAGGCCGAAAGTCCTTCGATGAGTACCAGGATGCCAACTGTGAGCAAAGCCCAGGCTCCAAAGAACACAAAGATGAGAATGCTGCCCAAGTAGCTTTCGAATTTGAAGCCATTGGAGAACACCATGCTCCACAGCACTTCGGAGAGCTCTGCAAAAAAGTCCAAATATATATTTTTTAAATACTTTCCGATAACAATTATTTTTATAACCCTATCGCAAAATAAATGGTTTATTATTAATTTTGATTTTATATCACTTAACAATATTTACGATACCCAATTTATAAAAAGGTGACACACTTAATTGCTTTTAATCTGGAATAATAAATGCTTTATTACTATTTGGAATTTCACTGAGAACGGCATGAATGCCGACTTTAAATAAATATTAAAAATATGAAATTTTTCTTTTAAATTAACTTGGCTTAAATGAAAATTCCTGATGGAAATAGTTCGAAAATCTACCAATGGCTAATTGAAACATAAAATATTTTAATAATAAAGCTAATTGATCTTCTTATTAAACAACAATAATATCAACAATTAAAGATAATTTAATAAAAATAAATGTAAAGAAGTAAAATAAATCAACTTACGTGCATGAGCGAGGGACAGAGCCCACAATCGAAGGTAGGAGGCTGTGTGGGAAACCGTACTCAGGACATACTCGATGGTGTGGATGGCCTGGTGGATGAAGATCTCGCCCATGGCATCGTCATCGCCATGACCCTCGCCACCACCACCACTCTGTGGCTTTGGCGGCGGTGCTCCGCTCATCTTCCGCTTGAACATAATGTACAGAGGCTTGCCCAAGAGCATCCACGGAATGCAAATGACGGCAATAATGACGAAGACCTGTTGAATGGACTTTTGTCCCGTCGAACATGAACTCTTTACAGGGCTCGGGAGTGTCCTGGGAGCCCTGCAATATCATGTTGATGAACAGGATCAGAATAGAAGGAGCACAAGCTGGCGAAAGAGGTCCTTCGACGGTGTCGGTGTAGGTGACAAACTTGTAGAACATCATAAAGACCATGTACCCGAAGAGCAGGAGAAGGAACAGAACTTGCGGCAAGAACTCCAAGAAGATACTGGCATACTTCTTGTAGTAAGCGAAGTTAACCACCGACATGGTGACTCCGAAAATCATGTGGGCCACGCCCACAATGATCGACAGCTTCATCTTAAAGGTGTTCAGAAAAATAATCTTGTTGTCGGCCAGCTGCCAAACGGGATCCACGCCCAAGGGATATGTCTTGAAAACCGTATCATTGGGCCTCAATGTAATACTCTTCAGAGTGTCATCCTCCACCGTTTCCCTCGTATAGTTCATGTGCCAACCGGAACCGAAAATATTCATGGACTTGGAGAACACATCGTTGTACAAGAGGCCAGTGTACATGGAAAAAATTCCCATGAGGAAGATGATGTATCGGCCGCCGAAGAATATATTGAAGATCTCCTCCTTGATCGAGGCCAATTGTTTTTCCTTGAGGATAAGCCAGCCAGCGAAGAGAACGAGGATTATGCCGTGTCCCAAATCTCCGAACATCACAGCGAACAGGAAGGGGAATGTGATGCAGGCATAAAGTGCGGGATTCACTTCCCTGTAGGAAGCCATGCCATACGAAGTCAACCAAGTTCTGGAAGCCATTGGTGAACTTATTGGTTCTCGTGTAAGTTGGCGGCATTTCATTTGTCTCGATCACATTCATGAAAGCTGGTATGGAACTCTCCGAGATCTTCGAGGCTCGAGCCAGTGCATCTTGGACTGATTGAATGTCATTGGTGGGCACCCAACCCTCGCCAATCAGACACTTACCCGTTACATCGGGATTGAAAAAGTTCAGGATGTGATAGATGGCCTTCATTTTGCGCACCATGATCGACCAGCGTGGCAAGTGCTTGGATGCTGAGTTTAAGACACGGCTGCGATGATCGGCACTCTGGCTGAGGACCAACTTCAGATCCTCCAGACGGACATTCACATCCTTGATCATATCAATTCGCTCGGCATGTGAGCTCGGACAAGGATAGACAGCGGCATGGTAGCCCGCGCAGACCTTTTTGATCCTCTGCTTCAGCTGCTCGCCTTGGAAAAAGGCCACGAAGACGGTTTTGAGTACTGGACGTCCTGTTTCCTCATCATCCACAAGGCCTTCGATGTCGGCTCTCCTAAGGAAAATATTTCCCCTGGAAATGCGCCACAGCATCCTTTCGAAGCTGAAGAATCTCTCTAGCTTGATCACACCAGCCACAAAGGCCAGTTGACCTCGTTGAGCTGCTCCCTGCAAATTCGCCGGATCCTCGGGGTCCAGTTTTCGGTTGACATCCAGATTAATGACTTCCTGGTCCGAGAAGAAGCCCTCGGTATTCTCCAGTACGTACTTGAGTTCCTGCATGTGCCGGAAGTTGGCATCCAAACTAGCTCCGTTGGCGGACATTTCACGCAGTTCATTGTCGGTCTTCTCCAGCTGGGCTTCGAGGTCAACAGCCTCGCGGGGATTGGGGGCACTGGGCTCCTCCTCAGGCTTCAGTATTGGCAACATCACTTCGTCCTTTTTCATCTCGGACTCCACGTACCGAAGGCGACGTTCCATGTCATCACAGCGTCTGACCTCCGTGACGTACTTCCGCTGGAAGGCGCTAACCTCTTCGTTCAGATCGCGGAACTGAACACATCCCCGCTCGCCCAGCTCGGCTATAGAGGCGTAGGCTGCCTCTGGCTGGATGAACAGCTGGCACAGGGCCATCTTCTCGCTACGGAACATATCACCCATGTTCGAGTTAATGTTCTATAACTGCAAAAAAATCAGTGAAGTAAAGGATTAACTAATGAGTGATTAAATTAAGATCTAGAAACTAAGTAATAGCCTTTTAGTACTTCTGTTTTGCTTTTTCACTGATAATGTTCTTTATTTACGTAATTTATTAGGCACACATTTGACTTCACTATTTGGCCTTACGCAGGTTATTTATTTGCAAATAAAAGTAGGCTTTTACAGCTTTATTAAACTGTTTTATGGCCAAGTGAGGCATGTGATCAAACGTAGTAACAGTCACCGAAATTTCCGCTGATGATAAAGCGGGCCATTACTTATTAAATTAATTTATGACAAGTGTCAGGATGATGGACAAATTTAGATTTCGAAGAAATTCAAAAGTCTTTAAGTATATAGAAAAACTTCGTATGTTGAGATATGATCTTCCTGATGATAATCTGATGAATATATTTTCAAAGAGATTTTTGATTTCGTAGTTTCTGGTAAAATGTGTTTAGGATTTGTTAAAGAACATTCAGTTCATGGTATCATAAAAACCGATCATCCAATTATTTGTAACACTTTTTTTTACGACTGCTTGTCACACTCGACTAATCAGCTGGGATAATGAGTTGTTTTGACGAGCTTTAATGGGTCTGCCGTCTGTCGAAGGGCCCCAACATTCAACATTGTTGATCCAACTGACGCACATTGTTTATGGCCGGTCCACTTCAATGCAGTCCCTGCCAATGTCGCAATCAATCACCTAAGTGGAACTCAACAATTCAGAAAAGAACAGAACCGAATAGATTAGATTACACGCTACCTCGTCTATCGAGATCGCTTCGGTTGTTATCTATCTACTGGCATTCGGGCTCTGCTATCTGGAGTGGGCGTTGAGCGCTGAGCGCATTAATAATTTGAAATTATTAACAATTACCGGCAATCAGTTGGTTTATAAGTAAGCCCCGAAAGTCTTTTATTGCATTAAACGCTTATACCCACCCTCCCACGTCCTGTGCAGTGTCTTTTGATAACCGATTGCTTTTTTTTTCGGGCAGGCCAGATTGTAGATATTTATGGTTAGGCCAGTGCTGAGGTTTTGCCCCGCCTGTCTGGCCATAAAATCATGATTGACTCTCGCTCTCGAGAGTGGCTGATAAAAAGACACGCAGTCTGTGGCCTCACTTGAGCAACTTTTCGATAGTTTCTAGCTGTCACAGATACGATAGATTTGATTTACAGCGGCGGGAAATGAGTTTCATATTAAAGAAATCGTAGATGGTTGGAAGGGAATGGAATGGCTTGTCGATTTCTTAATTGCTCAATAAATTCTTAAAGGCTTAAATCAAAAGGCAGTTAGAAAGAAAATGCAACGATTACAAAGAGTTTAAGATTAATTTGTGTAATTTTAAGTGCATGGAAAGACTAACTGAAAGGTAAACAAAAATCAAATTCAATTAATTAGATATAATGAAACATAATACACTTTAACTCCTTTGCAAATAAGATGTAGCCTTGAGCATAATATTTAATTCCATAATAAAGTTCGTTGCCAACTAAATTATTGAATTTATTATTACAAAAAGCCTATAATTTGCACAAATGTTGAATTGAATTGATTAACTGCAGCTGACTGGCCTTTGCCGATGGCCATCTGTGGATAAATCAGTGCAAGTCCGAGCTTATCGGTTTCAGTTTTGTACATCAGACTAAGCCATAAATCTGCACAGACCAGACAATTGCCTTTAAGTTGGCCATAAATCTTTGGTGGGCAAACTTCACGCAAATGTCTGATTATCGGATAGCCAATGCCCATTCCCACAGTTCATACCCAGTCGCAGTTCCCGCTGGTTTATGTCCGCAATTACGGGGTTCATTGGGGGATTTTGCTTTGGATTGCAGGCGGTAATACGGGGCTCATTAAGAAATCCGTTCGTGAGCCCTAAAAATATTATCGAAACCCCCCCAATCGGTTTTTGTGGTGCCAAAAGTCAAGTTGACGATTTGAGTGGTTGAATTCTATATGATCCATCACATGCTTTGACGTCACAGGGCAATATTATCGACACATATAGCACATATAAACCGCTTTATAGTTCCATATTAGTGTCCAATGAAAATCGATGTTTATTGCATGCTAGCGATTGATTATCAAAAACCTATTAAGATAACTTATCGCCGAAGTAATTACCATTACGGCTAATGCAATTTTGAATAATTACGTGAGGAGTAGTTAGCAAACTTTGCTTTTGCGAAAGGAACATTAAATTTATGGACAGTTAATGCTTATCTCTGACAACATTGATAACCCCGTCTTGTTAACCTCTTGGGAACGGGCTGATAATAAGTTGTGTGCCAAGAAGTGGCACGGGAATTAGGCTAACACGCGCATTAGCAACCTGATTGCCAACGTGGCGAATGAGTCTCTAAATAGCCATTAAGACAGTCACAAGTGGCTCGAAAATAAATCATACAATTAGTTAACACTTTAGTTTCTCAAGTGGCTTTCAGGATATTCTCAATTTAGATCACAGCACTTACACTGGAGGAGGGAAATCGAATTTTCCAATTGAGAGTTAATTATTTTTACGCGACCTGCCACCTCAGCGGCGCAGAAAGAACTGTGCGATCGCCTTAGACCTGTTGAGCTCTATGGCCAATTAGACTGGGGGCTAATCTAAACACTACACCAATACATTTACCAAAAACCGAGGCGAAATGTCATGGGAGAGAGGTGTATAATCTTTGTTCGTACGTTTTTTATCACACGCTCGGAACCATTTTGCGATTGCGGCCAACTAGCTTATCTTCGGTGAGGGGATCGGTAATCGGCGAGTAACCGAAACACAATTATGGCAGTCCACTCCCCGATTGCTGGTCACTTTTCTTATGGCCATTTCCCAAAGCATTATCAATGATTGAGTGTAAGCACGAGTTGGCCAAAAACCAAATACCCAACCCTCTACTCCATACCCCATCCTACCTGGCAATTCCATTACCTGATTGACACCATTCGGGCGTTTCCTTGTGTTGCAACAATATGACACCACGCTGATATGGCATTGCCACTGGTGCAGAGTTTATTAAGGCACCACCAAGTGATGGACGGAGTGATCAATCAATCATCTGGTATTGGCAGTCGTACATGAGGTGATAACCCCGTCGCTTGAATGAGATATTAAAGTTCGGAATGCTGAAAAACAAGCTGATTTAAGATTTCAAAGGCTTTTGATTGCTTTTTAATCATTTTTTTTAATTAAAAGAATTATGGTGTGCTTTTTTGGAGATTTTATTTTTATATTAAATTATGAAGAAATAATTAAAAGCTCTTACAGAATTTTTAAAGATTATTTTTAAAGGTGATTTTGATTTGAAATTGGTTTGTTGGTACGGAGGAACATTGAGTTCTTACTTCTAACTTATTAGAAACACTTTAAGCGTATTTTTATAAGTTGAATTTGCAACCCCTTCCCGGGACCTTAAACCCCCATTGGCAACTTCAGTTATTTTCCCGGACTTCAACATGCTTATCTCCAGCTGGGAGTGGCACCACCTAACGGAACCAACCTCACCTGTGTAATATGCGAGGATTACTCAAAGATTTCAACGAAGACGTGTGAAGGGAAGGCTACATCGCAGCCTTATGTCTGCTCAATTGGTATTAGCCCGAGAGTCAAGTGCTTTGTTTATCAGGCGCGTTCTATGAAAACCGTCTTAAGTACACCGGTCTTATCGTGAGTCACGTGCCCTGGTTGGTATGGCAACGTTTGATTACCGGAGCACATGATTCATTTGAAATTATTCGCAAATTCACTCTCCATTTTAGGGCCCATAAATCTTTGATATTAAGCTATTTCTAAGTAAGAGGAAACTTAAAAGGCTGTCTAAAAATAACACACGGCAAGGTTAATTGAAGAAGTTTAAGAAGAGTAAGTTTCAAATCTCTAAAAAATGAACACATTAAAATATTAAGGTAGTAGGAATTAATTTATTTTCCTTTTACATAACTGCAAAAATTGTAGTTTGCCTTTGCATGTTATTATTTAGAGAAAAGTTTGCTTATCTACCCACGTAGATGACGTGGATTCCTAGGAATTGCATTAGCTGTGTAATTAGTTTAGTTTTTGGCCTCCACTTGAGTGATAAGCTGGCCTTTGGCTTTGGCCAGCAGATGATAACCGAGCGACCACCTGCCAGTCGCTGGTCATTACAAGGCTTCGGTCCAGTTTTGCTAATTAAAAATTTCCACCTAACGAGCTTAAGCATCTTAATTTATGCTATTTAAATGAGTTCAAATGCACTTTCCCACACACACACACACGAGCACACCCTTATGTTGGAAGGGTAGAAAAACGAGGGGAGACCGCAAATAAATCGCATACAACTTTAAGCTGCAACAACATCATCATCCTGGTGGTGCGGCTCCTAATGCCACATAATGATGCTGATAATGGCCATCAGTTAGCGAGTGTGTGTGTGTGTATATGAGTGTGTTTGTTGCCAAGAAGAGAGGATGAAAAAGGAATTTAGCTGCCAGCACGTTCAACTTTTCGCTGTTGCACATTAAATGGGGTAGAGACCGGGCCACCGGGTTTTTCGAGTCGCACTATCGGCTAATGTGCGTCACCATTCCGTCTGCTTTGGGCCAAAAAACGCAGTTTCAAAACCAAGTAGACTACACTAGAAAAAGATATGTAGGAAAATAAGTGAAATTGTTTTTCTAATGACAAATCTTATATCTTAAATAACAAGTTTAAAATTATTTGTTTATGAAAATTAAATTTTAGAATTATTTTTATCATAATGTTTGACGATCATACCCACACTTTTTGTAAAGTGTAAATATAATTATTAATATGCCCACCAATTTAATTACTTAATTTACCATAAAACCATTAAGAAATACACATTTTCCAATAAATTTGTGAAATTAAGGCCAACTAATATTTTCAAGTGTCCCATTTCCCGGGCAATTTCGGGACTTCTGCCGACTGCTTTCGGCCATCGCCAATAACTAAGTTGTTGCGTGCGGTACTCTGGATTAGTCTAATGCCAATATGTACGAGTTGCAACAAAATGGCCGGCGGTGTAAGAGCTTTTTGGCGTGGTCTGCCGCACAAACGTGCAGCCAATTGGATTCTGATGTGTTTACGAACGAAAAGCGCAGCTCTGGCCCGTTTTATGTGCCGATTGCAATTGCAGTTCCAGTAGCAGCAACTGGCCAACTCGTTATCTTTAGTGATTTTTCGGGGTTTGGGTTTTTATTGTGGCTAAGCACACACACACACACACACACATGCCTCGTAGTCGAATGGAATTTCGTGTATATTTCTGTGGGCAGTGAGTCAGTATAATCGTAAGACGGTGGCTTATCAGTGGGTTATCTTTTATGGCCTAGGTTTATCGTCGTTTACACTCTTGATTAAACAATTAGGCACTGTGTGTGCCCTTGATTTATGCCCAACTATAAAAGCTGAATAAAATTCAATTTACAATTTAAGTTCGTTTTAATTCTGTTTGCATATGCCTGGGCAATTCCCTGCCTGGTTTTGACTTTTGCTGTATATAGTGAGTGTTGCTCCTCTCTTTATGGCTAATAAAATAAAAACTAATGTTAAATAAATAAGAATGGCCTGAAATGAAATTAAAGAACCCAAAACAACAAAAAAACGGAACAATCAGCACGATTACGAACTCACCTCGAACTGCCTGCCAATCCCACTTTCGACCCCTTGGACCACACCCCCTGTGCCCACCTCAAGGGTACCCGAAAGTATGCTACGTAAAATTTAACATTAACAGCAGCCGTGGCAGCAACGTCATTTCGTATTTATTGTATTACCTTTGTCAGCATATCTAACATTTATTTTTTGTTTCGCCACTCTTTTGGGTGATGTTTAATACTTATTATTTTTTGTAGCTACCGGGGGGCTTTACTGTTATTGCCTCGCCTGGTTTTTTGTTTGTTTTCCTTGTTTTGTTTTCCATTCAAGATGAAAAAATCCAATTTTCTGCTTAAAGCATTTTCATAATGCCAAAGCCCCAAAAAAAAAAAAACAGAAACCCAGCGAAAAGGGTTCAGCTATTGTTGCTGTTCCTGTGGCGCTTTTCACTTTTGTTCCGCAATAATGTACGTAATTTGTTCAGAAATGAAAATGTGTGAAAATGTTGGCGCTAATATGCCATGCCACATGCGAAATGATATATGGTTGTGGCTAAAACAATGTTAAGGGTTACACAACAATTGCGGCCAGTCTAGACAATGAAATTTATTCGTTGCTCGTGTGTTTATTTTCGGAAACTTTATACGTTTTGAATAATTTGTGCAGGCAGTTCAAAACTGCATTTGGCTTAAATAAATAAATATTATTTTAATTGGGTTTAATGTAATTTTCTAGATGATTTATAAGTTGCCTCAGAACCCAGCTTGCTACAAAAGTCGTTTAAATTTTAATGAGCCCTTTCTTTCGTGGAATCCCAGTGTATGTTACCATTTTTTTTTTGTTGCCAGGCAAGTCTGTGCCAATGGCAACCGCAGAGGCAACCCGCTTACCTGCCACGATGTGCCCCAAACAGTGACAATTATGGGCATTGTTACGAGTATTACTCATACGCCGCGTTGTGCGCCAGCTCAACTGCAATGCATATCAGTTTGGAATTATGCAAGGTGGAAAAAAAATGGGTGGAAAAGTAAACCGAGTGGGGGCATAAAACCGCGCTGCGTCATGTCGTGCATAAAAGTCAACTGTTGCTGCGTCGCCCTGCTTTCCCCCTGGTTTTCCCAACACAGCTCAGGCTTCAAACAATGGCAGAAATATCATCGTAGTGGCTCCTGTGAGACTGCCGTGCTTGTCTCAATTTGCTGGGTGCTGCGTGTGCTCAACTATATTATATGATTATTTTTTATTTTCATTTTCATTGTTATGTCTGAAGTGTTATGGCCCAGCCTGTTGCTCATGTATGCCCAGTACTTTGTCTAAATTGAATTATAAAATAGATCAGCAAAATGGCCAAAGAGCAGCGAACTAATACTCTTTGTGAAATGAAATTTCATGTGAATAAAATATTCTGATACATAATATTCTTCTTTGTGAATACATTTCCTGGGTATATGATGAGTAAAAAATAAAGGAAATTCAATTAATAAATAAATATGAAAGAAGACCTTTTGAAGGATATTTTCAGTAACAAAACCCAGCAAAAAATATTTACCTAATTGCGATTTTCCAAAATAAATTTTATCCAAAAATAACTCGAAAAAAAATACACATTGCAATTGCCTAGATAAAATTGAATTTCCCTACGAAAATCTTTAAAAGCAAGCGTCATTGATTTGATCCCTTCCACAAGCAATCCCTGGGTTTTTCCCCCCCCCATCCAATGACAATTTCCAGCCAGGACACGCGCTTGGCAACCTCAGGCCATGGCAAAATATCCTGGAGACGCCGCCGATACGTTGCCAATTCGCTGTGCATCCTTTTTCGCTTCACAACAACAGCAGCACCAAGAACAACCGAAAGAAAATTCAAGTAAAATGGTGAAAAAAATGTAACGCCCTGCGAAAAGTTTCGCCACAAGGTCGCCCGCCCCAGAGGCAAAAGGTTAGCCTATATATACCTATTGGGGTTGAGGGAGTTTTTGGGAAA